TTCATTTGGCCCACACTCCTGCTATGAGAAAAGGGTCACGGGCAGCTCCTCCAGCATTTCTTCTCTTCTTCCCTGCACCCAAAATTGCCTTCTATTTATTGCTTTTGCCTGAGTCCTTGAATATGGCAGCCAAAGCCTGCGCTACAGTTGAGGGATCAGAGCACTGGCAAAGTCTCCATTCTCCCACTTCAGGCTATACATTATTTAAACCAAGATTCATTCCTTGCTATATGTCGTTTTATTTTTTTAAAATCAAGTACGAGTTCCATTGAGTCTGCATCAGGCTGTCCAAGATGCTTTGCACAATGGGGTCCCCAGGGACTGAGCCTGCTGCTGTGTGCCGCCTGGCCCTGTCGCATGGGCCGCTGCAGTCTCGACTCTCCTGCCCTCCCAATTGATCCTCAGCCCAAGTGCCTTTGTCTCCAACAGCATTAACAATTGAAGAGCTGGCCTGAGTATCACACTGACTTGGATATCCTTCCTGAACGACCGCTCTGCCAATGGAACGTACACTGGCTTGACCTGCTGCTTTGTTCCGAATCAGCAAAGAGCTAGATCAGTAACAGGCAATGGCTCCCCTTTCTCTGTATCACACCAGGATGAAAGGCCTTTGGGTGCAGAGAGTCACATGAGCCCTTGGAGGCATTTTAAGCGAGTAACTCTGCCTGCCCGGTGCTCAGTACTCTGCCGCTGCTCCATTCCTGCAGCCATGACTCCCGTAGCCAAATCCTTTTATGACCTGAGTGCCACTGACCTCCATGGGGAAAAGGTGGATTTCAACAATTTCAGGGGGAGAGTGGTGTTGATAGAGAATGTGGCCTCCCTCTGAGGCACAGCCGTGAGGGACTACACCCACATGAACCAGCTGCAGAGTAAATATCCTCGGCGGCTGATTGTGCTGGGGTTCCCTTGCAACCAGTTTGGCTACCAGGTAAGTGCTTTAATTCACTAGCTTTTCAGCTACCCTTCTTGGCAACAGGTGGTTCCATGGTCTCCTTCCTTTCACTGCAATTGCCGTTTCTCCAGCCTGCTCGTAAAAAATGGAGCTGCAATCGTATGCACTTGCTCAGGAGCTGGGGATTACAAACCCCACTGAATTCAGGAGGACTTATTTCTCAGTAGGAATGCATAAAGGATCAGGTTGTATGTGTGCATCCACCAGAACTACTTAGGAAGTACAAAAGGTACCCCTTTGGCACTCTGCAGAATACTCATTGATAAACAGAGTGTCATTTGGAATATTATTGGAAGAAACAACAGCACCAAAGTACTAGAGGAACAACTAAATATAATGTTCAGATATCATGCTATATTAATACTTCAACTGGCTGCATTATTAAGAAATATGCCTATAATTTAAAGGACATAGGCTCTTCTGTGAATACATGTTTTTTTGGGGGGTTAATGTGACTTAGTGATACAAAGTCTGCATTCATGGACTTGGAGTGCCATTAAAAATATGGATTATTAATCTGGACATAAAGTTCAGCACTGGAGTGAAGAGGTTAATGGGAAGCCATCCTAGCAGCATTGCTCAGCACTGACTACACTGAAATCACTTAACAAACATAGCATTAATCAACAGACTTGTCAATTTCTGGTCTTTAAAGATGCTACTGCACTTATTGCATGCCAATAAGTCATTCTCTAGCTGTGGCTTTTTCCATCCCTGTGAGACCTTGATGGAAAAGAATTATTCAGTCTTTCGACCATGCAGCATTCAAAGATACAGCTTTCCTTGTGGCAGCTATTAGCAAATGCCTTACAAACACTGATAGCTGACAAGTTATTCTGCGGAACTCACAAGCTTACACACTGTTTTATTAGTTTGGTTGTTCTTAATAAAATACTAGAAGGCCTTTTGGATTTTGCTATGGGCCAGTGCCTACCTTTTTGGGAGGGAAGTCCCATGTTGCTGTTAATCATTCGTTTTATACTAATTGGGCAGAAAAAGTAATTGCTTAATGGTTTTGAACACCTTAGTGCATTGCTTCAGAAACAACATGAAATAGAGATCTTTAGTAACTGCCCTTTAAAAATAGTTTGATAGAATGGGGGGTTCCCATACCTGCATTTGTGCAGGCATAAACTGTCAGAGTCCCACAAACTCAGGCTCAACAACGTTCCTTCAAAAGGATCGAGTTTATTGAGTTCAGTAGAAGCAGGTCATCTGTGCATACATAATGTGTAAGGGCTAACCCAACAGGCGGGAGAGGGGAAGATATACTGTGTTTGAAGAGGCGTTAACCCAATCAGAGGTGCAAGCCTTGCCTGCCGAAAGTAACAACTGCAGGTTCCCAGGGAGGTGAGAGCGAGAAGCATCAAGGTCAGGCAGCAAGATAAGGCCAAGCAAGAAAAGCGAAACCAACATTCCAGGAGAAAAAGATGTTCACTCTACAGACTCCCCCCCCCACACGTATAATGGCAGCATAGCTGACATAAACTTTGTTGCTGTGCCAGTGTGTATATTATACTTCTCCCTTTGCTATTTTAACTGAAGCAATTCAAGAAATGTATTTGAAGCTCCCATAGTAGGAGCTAGCTATATGTATTGTGAAAAGAATGTTTTTAGACACTGGAGTGATTTTCAGGAGAGTTCCTGGGTAACTAAAGTGGCCAATAATCTTAAACTGACTAGCCCTTCAAAGTCGTTGCCAGGCTTCAAAATGGGTAGAATCCATCACACAGCCTTCACCAGATTAATCCGTAGTATGCTAGAAAGTGTGGGCAAGAATGTATGCACTACAAAGTCGGGCTTAAAAAGGGGGGAAAGTAAGGGGGGGTACTTGTCAGCTACGCCAGGTGAAAAACTCCTTCCTGACTCCCCAATATTCTGACCCCCAAACGTCAGAAACGTCCCCAAAACGTCTCGGTCCTGTAGCAGAAACATATGATGCTGATCTCTGGTTATGAAAATATGACATCCACAAGATGACACCATTAGTTTATCAAAAAGATACTGTTTTCCACAGCTGGTCTTGGGAGCCTATTCCAGAATTTAATACATTTACAAACTAGAAGCCTTCTGTCCTGCATTATATGTAATGGACATGATGGGAACTATGCCAGCAATGTGGAGTCTATTCCCATACCCTTCGAGATGGGACAGTTTATACAAGAATAAACTGGCTCTTTGGTTCAGTAAGTATTCTAAGATGAACTCTGGTGTTCCAGAAAGAATCTGTAGGCAGTGGCCTTGGTCCTGTTCTAAAGGCACAGGAGTGAAAGCCCTTTGAGCCAGTTTGGTGTAGTGGTTAAGTGCGCGGACTCTAATCCGGGAGAACCGGGTTTGATTCCCCACTCCTCCACTTGCACTTGGCTGGATGGCTTGGGGCAAGCCATAACTCTGATAAGAGCTGTCCTTGAAAAACAGCAGTTTCTGCCAGAGCTCTCTCAGCCCCACCTGCCTCACAGGGTGTCTGTTGTGGGGAGGGGAAGGGAAAGGAGTTTGTAAGCCGCTCTGAGACACCTTTGGGTAGTGAAGGTCGGGGGGTATAAATCCAATCTCTTCTCTTCTTCTTTTATTATGACCAACATAAAATGTACTAGGCAACCAAGCTTTCAAGCTCTCCAGAATTCTTCATCAGCCAACAGGATACTAGCATAGTTGATAAAGCTTGCTCATCCATATGTGACTTTGGAGATGATCCTACTACGTGTCTCTAGTGGTGTTGCGGATCTAAAATTCCTGGTGTAAGACTGCAATGCAGCAGCTCTGTTCTTCGCCTTTGGTGGATGGGTATGGAGGCCCAACATGCCCTGGAGACCCAATCTCTCTTCACCAGAGGCCTGTGTGAATCCCCTAACACAGACCTTGCTTAGATAGCTGGCTTCTTTAACTAATCCTAGAGAAATCCAGTGGCAAAGAGGAAAAGCTAAGGGAGCATAATATAAGTGTCCAATAGGGCAAGGATATCCAATTGGCAGCCTTACTAAATTAGTAAAATGTTTACCCAGTTTCATGAGTGAGGAAAACAAAGAGTCCATACTTTTAATGCTATCTCTTTAGTATGTTGTACATAACGCCACAGCTGTGCCTAAATACATGTGACCCATAACTATGATGTAGTTGCTGCCAGATGGCACTGGCCATGATGGATCCTGACTTTGTGGGGAAGGGGTCACAGACATGTTCCCTCTCAGCTGTAGAGTCTTGTGAGCAAATATTCTACTTTGTGAGCTACTGGCATTAAGGCTGTGAGCAATTTGGTTACTGCATAAATTAGTTTGCACTGGAGCCATCCTTCTTGAGCTAGGACAAAAATGTGTGAGCCAGAGGCTAAAAAACTGTGAGCTAGCTCACACGAACTCAGCTCAGAGGGAACACTGGTCATAGAGTATGACTCTGGCTCCAAAATCACTGCCTGAAAAATAGAGCGGCCTCCAAATTTGGCCATCCTTCCGTTAGGGCAATAGTGGCCAATTAAGAGACTGAATTCCAAGCAAGCACAAATGTTTTTTCTAACACTATATAAAAAATTACTTTCATGTTCATGGATATGAATAAATTCCGGGCATCCATACTGTTGCTGTCAATTGCCATCACTGCCCCCAGGAATAGAGTCTTCTCCCTCTCAGTGAGCAGAGCTCCCTCCTCATCTTCAGAGAAGGTTAGCTCTCCTCCCGTTTAAGGAGTCTTGGAGGAAGGAAATTCACTAGTCTGAACAGGAGTCCGGCAAGCTGTTAAAAGCCATCTAGTAATAAAAACTCTTCTTGGCATTAGAAGGCAATGCAAATGGGATCAGTGGCTAAGCCTCCTTTGTCAGGTAAAAACAGACCTTAACTAAATATGAAATAAAAAAACAAAGAACCCAGCTCTTCTTGTAAAAAATTCAGCTCCTGCAACTAAACCAGTTTTGCAAACATCACCCATTTGAAGATAGTGTGAGCACAAGGTACTTCACAATTACCAAATCAGTGTCAATAAGAGGAGCAGATCAAGTGTGGTGTTTTGTGCAGGGCTTTCCATTCTCATACTACTTTGTGCTTCTTTCTGATAGGAGAACTGCACTAACGAAGAGATCCTCAACAGCTTGAAATACGTGCGACCTGGGTCTGCATTTGAACCCAATTTCATACTTTGCCAGAAATGTGAGGTGAATGGCAAGAACACCCACTCTGTCTTTGCCTACCTGAAGGACAAACTTCCATACCCAGACGACAACCCCTCCTGCTTGATGATGGAACCCAAGTTCATCATATGGAGCCCAGTATATCGCAATGACATCTCCTGGAACTTCGAGAAGTTCCTTGTGGGGCCTGAAGGGGAGCCTTTCAAGCGTTATAGCCCCAGATTCCTCACCACCAACATTGAGCCTGACATTCAACGACTCCTGAAGCTTGCCAAATAAGAGTCACGGGGAAAATCGGATAGTTAGTAGCCCTGACAGGTCAGGTCAAAATAATTAACAGAAATTATGCTCTGATCACAAATACCCCTTCTATAGAATTGGCCTAAGAAACATCCCTTCCCTAATTACGTCCTCTTTCCTTTACAAATGAGTGTATGAAGTGATTCGTCTCATCTCTTGTCACCACCATCGTCAGACTTTTACTGAGTGACGGTACTCTCCTAAACTTCAAGGGAGGGAACCTGAAAAGTGTAAAGGTACTGATCTGGCCCTTGTTTGCTGGGTACTTTTTGTTTCATGAGTTAAATAAATATGCTGGAAAACTGTGTATGTGTTTTATTAAACAAACAGCTAGTAGAGGCCATCCATAGAATTTTGGCTTGTGTCTCCTAAGCTGACATTGAAAAAGCAATTTCCCCCCTTAAAGTTCACAGAAAAAGGGGCACCTCAGCTCTTTCCCATTTTTGGCTTTATGAGCCGTCTCCATTACCAGTAAGTGTTCACATCATACAAAGCAACATGAACAAGTCTCTTGGTGATATCACAGCAGAGCAACTTATTAGTTTAAGATTTCTACTATTAGAGCATCAGGAAGATAGTCGGCTCTGGAAATAATGATAAAGCCAACTAGGTGAAGATACTCCCAATGTATAAAAAGACTATAAAATTGAAATTACCTCACATCAGTTTTTAAACTAGCCCTCAAAAGCCAAGTCAAATAAAGCTACTTTGTGCTTTCAAAAATGCACAAAATGACTTTTGTTTTCAGCAGAAGAAAATTCCATGGTTATGAAGCAATGGAAATAATACTTTTCGAAGTCTCCTTGTCATAAAAGGAAATATTTGATCTAAGGCAAGGCTCAAATCATCATTTAAATATTGGCAGGTTAAAACTATCACCTTGAAATGTGCCCTGTAGACAACACAGATGCTCCCAGTGCTTCAAATCAATCTGAAGCTTCCAATTTAGCTTAAAGGGCAGTGCCTGGTAAGATTTACAAATGAGATTACCTAGCCATGAATTTTCAAACACTGGGGACATTAACAAATGAAGATGAGAAAGAAAATGCTCTTTTAGACAGAAAATCATTTGTCTACCAACATGTCACCTTGGCAGAATATATTAGCTATTTATTAAGTTAATGTAGAATGGCTCCAAAACAAGGATTGAATATGCAGCAGGTAAACTATCTATAATCACAGCTTGGAGGGATAACAAAATAGTTCTTCTGAAGACCACATTACCTTCTCTTCCATATCCTTACAGCAGGATCATCACAAGGTAGTAGTAAACTCTGGAAAGCCGAGTGTTCAACTTACAAACATAAAAGATGCCAAGTATCCCTTCTAAAGGTCAACAGGAATGGTGTGTGTGTGTGTGTGGCTTAGGTGGATGCCAACATAAGTTGTGTGGGTAAGCAAAGAACTTTTCCACAGGAATTCCCTGTCAACCTTTCATTCATGACCCCCAGTAGGACTATCTGCTGTATCCAGTGTGGCAAACATAGAACCACTGTGGGCCCCAGAAATTCAGGATGAAACACAAATATACCACCAATTTCTACACTGAACCAACTTTTAAAAATACATGTTGTATGCATTGTATCTGTTCCAAAAGGGCTGATCTCAGTAAGAGAAACCAAGGCAATACTCTGTTAAAGGTTCCATAAATGGGAAAAAAAGATATTAATGATCTCAAACTCTTCGAGTCTACTGTTATCCTGCTGGTTAAACTCGGGTAAGCCCCATTAAGTTGTTACTATTTTCCTATCATTTTCGTGTTTACACTGTAAACTCTTCAGAACCTCTTCTATGCCGTTATGAAATTGTTATACACATTCATGTCTCCAAACTGAGAAATCTACTCTCTGTGTACACACACACACACACACGGGGGGGGGAGTGAGAGAGCTGTTTATTCTATCTTTAATCTAGGGTAGAGAAACAAAATGCCACAATCCAAGATTTCAATTTAAGGGCAAATTGCATGGCAATCCACTGCAGAAAACATGATTTGGTTTCATGAATTCTGCAGGCAGATGAAATGTCTGCAGTTCTGTTTATCATCAACTCTTCATCTGACAGTGGCAGACTGCAGCACTCCCTGCTGTCTGCCCTCTGTCCAAACAGAGAATGAGAACAGGCCATACAGGTAAAATGTCTGCTACAGTGCCGCAATACTCTTCAAACTGTCCAGATAGACAAGAAAGCACCACGAGGCAGGCAAAACAGCACCAAATGTTGTTTGAATAAGGAAAAGGAAAAACTGTGCTTGTCTTGACCTGGTGACTTTTCCTTACAGGTATGTTAAGCTGACATTTGCAGTAGGGTAGCCATGATATGTTATAGCAAAAGAAAACAGAAGACCAGGGGCACCTTCAAGATTGACGTTTATTACAGCACAAGCTTGCATGAGTCAAAGTTCACTTCTACAGATGCATCTGCAGGACCTGTTGTAAGTAATTCTTAACCGTTGGAGCTCACAATGACATTTTTACAGAGAGATCCCATTTCAGTGAAGTTCCTCAGTGCTTACAGCCTAGCAGCTTTTCTCCTATTCTTTGTCTGAATTCCCAGCTTGCTCAACAAACCCATGCTCTGGAGCTAGAGGAACCTCACACAGCTCCAGTATTTTTGCCATCCCTACCTAAAGGTCATCACACACTGCAGACAACCAGGGCAGACAGCAAATAGTCGAAAGACCACTTGCATAAAATAAACATCTCCCAGAACGTGCGTTTTTTTCCCTATTCCCATTTTCTCCTGCATGTAGGGATCTCTGTTAGTATGCTAAAGGCCAATTTTTGCAAACTGCGTCAGCCATTTTGCCAACTGGGTCACCCCTTAACAACATGGCCCACTCATAAAGGAGTCCTATCACTAGGGGGCTGAAAAGGGAGAGCGCTCCCTCTCTCTCCTGGCCCTACCACTAGCCAACTGTAAAAGCAGAATAAAGACATAAACCATGTTACAATCCATGATCACAGTACGGAAGGGGCGCAGCAAGCACCACTTCTTTGCAGGCTCATTACTTTCAATGCACAATTTGCACTGTTGAATTAATGTGGCAATTCTGTAGCCCAGGCCCATTTGCCATGCCATATTTTAATACCAAGCCTTGTAGTGGGGATGGCATGAAATGGCAGACAGAGATCTTCCTCTTCCACATCTTTTATTTTTTGTCACATTGAATGATTGGCCTTGAAATTCTAAACTATAAGAGGAAAGAAACGTGTGCATAACGAGTGCAGGCAGAAGACTAGCTCACAGCAGATCTCCTTTTAACTTAAAAAAGCATCTCATGAATCTGTAAACAGATTCCATTTTGTCAAGACATTCTGGGAATTAAAAATCGATAAACCAGTTTAAGATACCAAGTCCAAGAAACTCCACACAGCAAGAACAGAGTTTCCTTTGAAGAGCAGAAATCAATGGGAAATTCTTCCAATAAGGAGCTGTTGGCTATCCAATGCTTTAAAACAACGGATGCCCTAGTATCTCACTGGTTTCAAAATAAGAGCACATGCTAAATTCTTTCCCAATGAAACAGAAAAACAAATTTGCTTAAATTTGGCTGTACATACAAGATTGTGTGAACTTTCCCCCCTACAACAAGATTTCTAAAAAGCATGCAATGACCAGACGTATGTCATTGTAAATTGCTGATATGCACTTCAAATTATCTAGCATGTCCAGTCATTTAGGACAAAATATCTCATCAACATGGATTTAGAGGAAGTCAGTTAAGAACATGAAAGCCTTTTGCTGGATCATGCCCATCCTGTCCTCTTCCAATAGTGACCATCCATATGTGTCATACTCTGCTGCATTTGCCATAGTTATTGGGGGGGAAGGGAAATTCCTGAGGGGGGTGTGTGTGTGTGCAGGAGCACAAGAGTGGCACCATTGTAGCAGCTATCGTAACTCTTCCCAAGACAAGCCTCTCCACGGAGACGACATTGAAGCAGACTCTGTGCTAGCCTCCCTGCCTTAGATAACAGGGACTGGGAACTTATGGGTGAGTGTAGATGCTAGGAGCTTAGGCGGGACGGCTGAATGAACCGATTGGATGATCGGGGGGGGGGCTTATATTTGAATTGTCTATATCTGTAGAGGTTACCGTCCAAAACCTCAGTTCTGACACGGTACTGTTCTAACCTGGATCATGCTGATATCTCAATAAATAAATCACTGCCGAAGAGAGTGTTGTTGGGAGTCTCTTGACCAGGAGTCTGACAATATGTTTGCATAATATCCCATAGGGTGATTAGCCGCAGAAAACACTATGTTCCATCTGTCTAGCCAAACAGGCTTGGCAATATTGATTTGAGGTGAACAGAGTTGATTTTGGATTTGAGTTTAAAACAGCTACACTAGTTCTCAATATATCAAGTTATTACCATATCACAGCTGAGTGCCACTGACACATCATTGGAGTATACTTTATTGTCATTGTACATAGTACAACGAAATTAAGGTGCAATCATTCGGTGATCTACAAGCATACTCATATACACTCACACAACCATACTGATATACACTCACACAACCATTAGGGTTCTCATTGCAACTTAACCACCAATGTCACCCAAATTCCAATTCATACAGCATTTAAAGCAATAATAGCTCTCGAATAAAAGCTGTTTTTTAATCTGTTTGTCCTTGTTTTGATTGTCCTATATCTTCTACCCGAAGGCAGCAGTTCAAACAGGGGGTGTTCAGGGTGTGACAAATCCTGCAAAATGTTCTTTGCTTTTTTCAAGCATCAACATAATCCACATTTCACCTCTGTAGTTTGGTCATGAGAACAATTAGCCACAAGGTCTAGATAGGAACTCTCAGGCTGGGGCAAGTAATGCTCTGTATTCATGGTGTTTGGGGGGGGGCAACAGTGGGAGGGCTTCTAGTGTCCTGGCCCCACTGCTGGACTTCCTGATGGCACCTGGTATTTTTGGCCACTGTGTGACAGTGTTGGACTGGATGGGCCATTGGCCTGATCCAACATTGGCTTCTCTTGTGTTATGTTCAGAATGAATCCTACACCAAGAAAGAGCAGAAACCGGTATGGAATCAGCCACTGCAATTCTTCTAAAAAGACTGACTATATTTTTATGGATTGAGGCAATCTCTAGGTTAAATTTACAGATGTTTATTTAAAAATTTATACCTCAGTTATCAGTTCCTAGAAAAAG